TGAGCTGAAACTAAGAATCGGACGCTTAACTGACTGAGCCCCCCAGGAGCTCCTGTTAAGCTAACTCTTTTTTTTTTTTTCAATGTTATTTATTTTTGGGACAGAGAGAGACAGAGCATGAACGGGGGAGGGGCAGAGAGAGAGGGAGACACAGAATCGGAAACAGGCTCCAGGCTCTGAGCCATCAGCCCAGAGCCTGACGCGGGGCTCGAACTCACGGACCGCGAGATCGTGACCTGGCTGAAGTCGGACGCTTAACCGACTGCGCCACCCAGGCGCCCCTTCTGTTAAGCTAACTCTTGAATGGAATCAACAAACTCTCCCCAAGTTTACTATCTGTCATAATCCAGATTTATAACGTGCTAAGGGCTGCAAGCCAGAAGAGTCGCCCAAACACGTGAGACTCCCAAAGGTCTCAGAACTCTCTGATTCAGGTAACCTCTACAATTTTGTGACTTCTAGTTTTACTCAAATTAGCCATCATCACCGGGAACCTGCTCCACCGCTAGGATCTCAAACTGAAATTCCTTCTTTGACCACAAGATCCACCTCAACCACTGATCTGTTGTTCTCCGTCTTTATGGTGCACACCATCCCCCGTGCCTCAGATCCTGTTTATTTAACTGGTCTAGCCAGGCCTCTCCCTTCCAGCCTGAATTCCACAGCCAGTCATTTTAACCCTGCTCTCATTAGTTTCCAAGATTATCAAACACTGCTGATTCACCATATGCGCCCTCCCAATTCCCAACCCTGTGTTCACTAAAGCGTATTTGTTTCAGTTTTTATTGCTACTTCTGGGCCTAGTCCTACAAAATTCAGACCATCTTACCCTAAATGGATTCTCCAAAAAATTGTTTCCTCTCTCCGTGTCAACTTTTCCCCCATATTACCAGGCATCTCTCCTTCTGTAAGGTTTCAGGGAAAGAGATATCCCTGGATCCTTCCCAAGGGTAATTCATCTGGATGTCACTGCTTTCCATCTTCTCTAGGATCTTACTCAACTCCTTAACATCTCAATTTCACCTTCTCCCCTGACCTTGACCTGATTCTGTCTCACGTTACTTTTTTATTTCTTTCCTTTCATTCAAGGAAGAATGCTGAGTTCGCATCACCTTTATATCCTAACTTCTCGTACACTACTGATTTACAATCTGGATTCCCCCCCTTACAAATAGCTCTTTCGGGTCACCAATTTGACAATCTGTTCACTGTCAAATCCAATGGGATTTCCCCATTCTGCTCAACTTCCTTGTAGTACTTAAATCACTGATAACCACTTCTTTAAACTTTCCCCTCTATGTCCTTCCTTATCACTAAATTGTCTCAGTCTTCCTCTCGTATCTTTGCCCACTCCAGCCCTACCTCTTTCATGGCTTTGCTTTCCAGAGCTAAGCCATAACTGTGATCACTGTATCAGGCTGGCCTTAGCTGCTCTCCCCCACATGTTCTCATGATGATCCACTCACTGTGATAGTGGTAACTCCTAAGTCCTGGCATGTTTTCACACTGTCAGTCACATTTCTGACAAGGCTGGATAATTTTATATTAAGAAGATTACAATGGACATCCTCTTACATGATACAACTGGATCCCATGTTGGTCATTTAATTTTTTAAAAAGCAGATAATACAGGAATCCATTAAAAACACATATACACTGTAATATAAAATATAACCATAGTAAAAAAAAATGCAGCCATACGTCTATTCATGAATTCTTTGAGCACAGATAGGTCCACTGATTGAAAATTCTTACATAAGCCATCCATACTACAATGAATAAAATTTCCAGTCTATTTTTAAAAGCACAGCAGGAATTTAAGATGTGTGAAACAATCTGTGTACAGAACCTCTCAGGATTTTCATTATTTTTCCCCAATTCTTTTCTGTCTTGAATTTTACCTTTTGTAGCAATTAAAAAAAAATCTATTTACATATACTAAGTCTTCCAAAGCTGTCAACTTTGTTTTCTTACCAACAGTTCTCCTTAACACTGAGGTTTCATCGTTTTTTTTTTTTTTTCTGATATTTAATTAAACTACAGATTATAAAACAAGTACAAGTATAAATGAGCTCAAGAGCAAACAACTCACTCTGGGTAAGCATTCAATGCAACTAGCGGAAATAAAAACATTTGGGTGGACTGGTGAGTAGCCTACCAGCCATGAGGATTGAGCATGCTGTGGGTATCGGTCGGTATATTTCATGGAGAACGATGGTTAATCTGGTGAGGCACCCAAGCGAAGGCAGAAGAACGAGCCCGCCTAGCAAAGCCACGTTAAGTCAGGAATTACGGAGGCAAGCGGCACAATATTTCTAGACATAATCCTTTAAAAATCTTAAGAGAGATTTGTAGATTTATACATGGAACAATAAACTATTTTAAAAATTAAAATGTAAAAATTATAAATAATCCTAACAAAGAGGCATGTCTATTCATGGCAAATTTTGTACGTCCTTAAGGACTGTGAAAAACTTATTTATTCTACACATACTTATGATAATGGAATGCCTTCCCCAGTGAAAATTAAAAATTAAGATTTCTGAGATCCTACCCTCCTTTTTTGATTGTTTAATATTCAAGTGACTATCATCAAAAGCTTTTTTAAAAATGTAATCTGGGGCGCCTGGGTGGCTCAGTCAGTTAAGCAACTGACTTCGGCTCAGGTCATGATCTCACGGTTCGTGGGTTCAAGCCCCGCATCGGGCTCTGTGCTGACAGCTCGGAGCCTGGAGCCTGCTTCAGATTCTGTGTCTCCCTCTCTCTTGGCCCTTCCCCCACTTGTGCTCTGTCTCTCTCTCTCTCTCTCTCTCTCTCTCAAAAATAAATAAAACGTAAAAAAAAAAAAATTAAAAAAAAAATTTAAAAATTAAAAATAAAAACGTAATCTTCAGGGAACACAGAAAACCTTCCTGTTGCCAATATTAAAAAAAAAAAAATTAACAATAAGTTACCAGTTTCTAATATCGTAGAAATGTGCTACATGTGGTACCTGTGAGAGGGGCACTCATCTCACTAACATCCACGGAGTACAGAAAGAAGAATCCAGAACTTGCATGACATTGATCTATACCACCAACTTTGGGGGGCTACTAATTTTGTTTTTGTTCCCCAAAGTGAGCTTCTCACCTATTTACAAAAAAGCTTCCAAATACAAGTACAGGAGTTAAATAAGACCATTAGAGGAAGTAACATATTTTGCTTTCCTGTAACCTATAAAGGAAAAAGAAAGACAACGTCTGAAAAATAAATTGTTACAATTTGTTTGTATGTTTTTCTTTCTTTTTCTTCCATTAATGTCTTTGAAGAGCAGTTCCATTTCTTTTTTCTTATTATATGCTCCTCATGCTTTTGAAATATTAGCAAACCACTCCATAGGAAAGAACTTTTAATGAATACTGGTACTAAAAAATCTAGATATGATGCAATAATCAATTTAGAGTTTGTTCAAATGTGAGAGCTTTAATTGGCCTATGGGTGGGTGAGATGTGCTGTTAAATGTATCATATTTAGGTGTGTGTGTGTGTGTGTGTGTGTGTAAGATACTGTGCATAAACTGAATTATTGTCTTGGGTAATATGTAACACTATTGAACCTTTTGAAAATGTCTGGTCTCTCACTGTGAACGTTGTCGTACAAAAAAAAAAAAGAAAAAAAAGAAAGAAAGGAAAAAAAGGCCTCGGTACTGAGACAGAACTGAAGTTGACATTTTCGCATCATCTGTGTTCTTGCCTGTCTTTCACTATTAACTTGATTGTTTTTTTTTTCTTCTCCTAATGTTATATAAGATGCTAGTCAACTAAATGAGAGGGAAAAGAACACTTTAGGAGGATTTCAAATCTTATTTTAAACACTGATATAAAATAATATACATGAGTCCTGGTGCACAAATTGATTAGGAATAATGAAAACCATGATAAACACATTATATCACATCATCATTTAACATTACCCTCAACACACCGGCCACGAACTCAATCATTTACTGTAACTAGAGTCAAACAGAAATCCAGCCAAAACAAGTCTGTTCAATTAAGAGTCACAGCAGGAATAGCCTTTATACCTTTTATCCTGAAGATTAGTTATTTTCCCAGAGTATCCAAACAGACCATACACATAAACAATTCAGCGGTAAGTGATATACTGCAAAATCTTCATTCAGTAAATCTTGGTCAATACTGGCTTACAGGTGAAATATAATAAGCATAAAACTCGTTTAATGTGTAATATAAAGGGCAATAATTCAAAGCCTTCCTACTTACTGAAGAGAGTCTCTCTGAGAATAGTGGCTTCTCTACTTAATTGCTAATCAGTAAGTGAAAAAATAGCACATTGGAAGGGCTGTGAGCTGCTGGAAAGTTTGTGGTTTTCTTCATTTGTGACTATTGTTGCCCCATGACCAGTAAGGGTCAACGTGACCACAGGTCATTTTCTCAGGGCCTCGGCTTCGCCAGTTCCCTAAAATGAAAAGCTGGGTGCTTTTGGAATCTCAGGAAACCGTTCAGCGGAGCTTCTAATTTTACAGACAGAGAAACTGAACCCGAAAAAGGTAAGAGATTTACCCAAAGCTACAAGACAGTGGCAGAGCAGGACCCAGCACCCAAAGCCTCTTGGGGGTTCAAGCGACTATTAGATCAACTGCAGAAGCACATCTCTCTCTTTACCACCATGCCCTCTCCACGTGGCCCACACTTTGCACAAGGGAGACCAGAATCTTCTTCAACCGCGATTCGCAACAACCTCAAAGTTAGGACCATGCCATCCTGACATATTACTTACAATGGTCATTAGCAAAACTCTGAGTATATGTGTTATAGCTCAAAGAGGGTATCAGAACAACTTGTGATTGAATAAAACTTACAAAAACAGTACCGAGCAAACTTTTTTTAATGTAAACTGTCTGATTTAGAGAAAAAGGAATGAGTTCATCATCAAGAGAGAACATCTGACATCAATTAACTCTCATTTACTTTAAAGGGGAGAATTAAACACAAAATTACCTTTGAAGGTTTCAAGTTCCTTCCTGTAGAAAAAAAGAAGAAAATGTGAATTTTATTTATTTGAAGTATAATTAACATACAGCATTATATTAGTTTCAGGTGTGCAACATAATGATTCCACAATCCTACACATCACTCAAGGCTCACCACAATAAATGCCATCACCATCTGTCCCCAAACAACAGTATTACAATATTATGGACTATATTCCCTATGCTGTACTTTCCATGTCTGTGACTTATTTATTCTATAACTGGAAATCTGGGGGTGCCTGGGTGGCTTGAGCGTGGCAACTTCGGCTCAGGTCATGATCTCGTGGTTCATGAATTCGAGCCCCACATCGGGCTCTGTGCTGACAGCTCAGAGCCTGGAGCCTGTGTCTCCCTCTCTCTCTCTGCCCCTCCTCAGCTCACGCTCGCTCGCTCTCTCAAAAATTAACAAACATCAAAAAAAGACTGTAACTGGAAATTTGTCTCTCTTCATCCCCTTTATTTATTGCACCCATCTCTCTACCCAACTCCCCTCTGGCAACAAACCACCAGTTTGTTCTTTTCTGTATTTAAGAGTCTGGCTTTTCTGTCTGGTAAGAAAATGTATTTGTGGTTTTAAAGTCATCTATTCCCAATGGAAACTGCTCTTAGATTATAATAAAAATGTATACACTTCAAAGGCGCAGAGGGGCACCTGGGGGGCTTAGTTGGTTAAGCATCCAACTGTTGATCTCAGCCAGGCCATGATCTCAGGGTCGTGACTTCAAGTCCCATGTTGGGCTCCACAACAGGTATGGAGCCTACTTAAAAAGGTAAATCAAATAAACAAATTAACTAACTAAATAAATAAAAGCCCAGAGTGGTATTTCCGGATGTTCACATATACTTTACTGAAATTATCAATACAATTAGTCTAAAGCTACTATTTTCAGTTTTTCTGCTATTACCTTATTAATGGCTTAAAACAAAATCCTGCCAGAATTTAAAGAATTAAAACACTGAAACACGTATATAAAAAAAAAGGTGTTTTTATGCCAGCTATGAACCATCTCCTATATATGAGTCAGTTTATAAAAGCCCTTAACAATTTTCCCTCCACTGATCAATATTAAATAATAGATTTTTAAGATCCATTAGTTAAAAGTCATCCAGAATAGGTGCCGTTATTTCCCCTTTTAAGTGAAAGAGAAAAGCACATATCAAAGGACTGCGGTCCATAGCTCATCCTGACACAAAAGGGCCAAGCCTCCAGGAAACTGTCTGGTTTGTAATTCTGTCAGTGTCAATTAAGGATCCTGAAATACCAAGTTTCCTGGGGAAATGCACAACAGCAGAAAACAGATAAACAATCATAAAACAAAACATTTTTGACATAGCAAGTTTTTTTTAGGTTTTCCTTCATAATTTCATAACTATATTTTTCATCATGATTAATAATAATAAAAAGTAATTTGGGGGAGGTAAATTTATTTAGTAAAAGCTTGTTATCCCCCTCAAAATATGAGACATTCATCTTTATTTGCACTCTGGGCTTTACTAAAACCTAGGGATATTCTGAATTCTCACATCCACTCTCCACACTACTAATTACAATACCCCTCATGTTCTAAAATAGTTGACTACAATTAACAGCTGGTGGAGGGGACGGGCAAGCTGCCTGCCGGAAGGCCAAACACAGAATACACTTGTCACAGCCAAGGGAAGGCTCTGAAGTCAGATGGTCACCTCCCTCCTCTTTTCTGAAAACACACTGACTCCTTGTAACAACGCTCCAGTGCCACAGTTCATTAAGACAAAGAGGGTTATTTTCAATCCCATCTTTAAAAAAAAAAAAAAAAAAAAAAAAAAAAAAAAAAAAAAGTGCAATTGTTTTCCTTCAGCCCATAGTCCCACTTCATTCTGGAAAGATTATTTAGGTCAAGTTAAACATGCCTAAGACTTACTTTATCCTCTGATGATGGGAAGAAGCTGAAAATACGTCACCAAAAGGCAAGATGTAAGAGAACATCTTGCAAAGACACCTTCAATTTACTCCCCACCGATGCCCTCACAGGAGCGATTCTCTAAGCCCGCTGATGGGTGGAAAAGGTGAAAGAGCCCTCAGCTCCGTATTCTAACGAGTAGGTCTTTCTTTGACTATAGGCTTCAGAGTGCACTGGCTTTCCACCTTTTAGAATATGTAACAGTGAGCAAAATTCCTATAAGGTACCTTCTGTTTTCAAAAGCCAGAACTCAAGAGTAATAATTTCAGAGACTTTCTCTCCCCCACCCCCACATCCCCAAACGGCAACAGCTACAAGACACATAATCCCACGTCTGTTTCATCGATGGGTGGCCGCCCGATAGAGGGACGCGGCCCTTCATGAGGAGGCCCATGCTCACCTCCCCAGCTTTAGGCCGCCTCCTCATGTCAAGAGAAAAGTCAAGAGAAAAGGGGAGAAGCCTAGCAGCACGCGTTGCATACGCATCCCCTATTTATGGACTATCATGACCCACAACTGTTTGTTAAATCTCCAAGAAACTTCCTTCCAGACGTTAAATCATTCCTGTGCCCATTTCCTAAAAAAAGAAGACTGGCCGAGGTAGTGAAGGGAAGGATAGGTGTGGTTTAAAGGAAAGATCAGTGTTAATGGAACTTTCGTTAAAAATTGGTTAAAAATGAGCGGCGCCTGGGTGCTCAGTCGGTTAAGCGTCTGACTTCGGCTCAGGTCATGATCTCACGGTTCGTGGGTTCGAGCCCCACGTTGGGCTCTGTGCTGACAGCTCAGAGCCTGGAGCCTGTTTCAGATTCTGTGTCTCCCTCTCTTTCTGCCCCTCCCCCACTTGTGCTCTCTCTCCCTCTGTCTCAAAAATAAATAAACATTAAAAAAACTTAAAAACAAAATTTTTAGAAAATGTTTATTCATCTGAGAGACAGAGACAGCACGAGCAAGGGAGGGGCAGAGAGAGAGGGAGACAGAGGATCCTAAGCAGGCTCTGCACTGTGAGCACAGAGCCCGATGCGGGGTTCGAACTCGTGACCCGTGAGATCATGACCCGAGCCTAAGTCAGACACTTAACCGACTGAACTACCCAGGGGCCCAGTGTTCTGGAGCTTTTTAAGAACTGACAAAGCAGTGGCTTTGAAAGCCTTGAAATCTCCTAGTTTTTAGGGCAGAGTCCACATTTATCGGCAGTAATAAGCATCTGGAAATAACAGACTTAAGAGAAGAGAGGGCAAGGCATGCCGGGCCGAGCAGACGCGACAGTGAAACTGAAGACATGGAGGCCACATGATGCAGGGTCTGTATTCAGGCAAGAGCAAACACTGAAGGACGGCAGGCTGAGCGAACAGAAAGAGTGGGAGAGAAGGTTAAAAAGGAAGAGGGTTCCGAGTGCCAGGCTAAACGGATCTGGTTTTATTTTTAGCAGGATAGCATGAGCAAAGCTGTGCTTTAGGAAGAACATTCTGGCTGTGATGGATAGATCCAGTGACAAGGGGAAGAACAAAAGCAGGCAGCGCTCAGGAAACTATCAGAGGAGTTTGAAGAAGAGCTAATTAGTGCCTGGGAAGAGCAACATCAGTGGCAAAGGCGACGAACAGGAGGGGGTCCGTTTGAAAACGCCACGGAGAAGACTCAACAGTCTGGGCAACTGATCCCACAGGGATCCACAGAGGGAGGAGAGGAGTACATTCATCCAGCAGGTTCCGGTCTGGACCCCTGGAAGGCAGGCGAATTCATTAAGAGCAGAACACTCAGGAAGGGGAACAGACTTTGGAGGGCAGCGCATGAGTTCAGTTTGGAATCCGATGAAATAATCTGGCGATGCTGAAAGACAGGACTCCCACCTGCTGAGGTAGGCTACTCAAAACTCTAGCTCTTCCAGATTTGTACTTCCTTGCTTCCCAGTCTTGAACAGATTCCAACTTGGCCTCCAGACGCCACCACTGCACAGTCAAGGTCACCAACAATCATATGTTGCGAAAGGCAGAGATCACTTCTAACTTTCCATCTGAATCCCTCAGCAGCATTCAACCCAACTGGCAATCCCTCGAGAAAGTTTCCTCTAGTTTTTCTCTCTTCCTTGGATTCTTCTTTTTTTTTAAATTTTTTTTCAACGTTTATTTTTATTTTTGGGACAGAGAGAGACAGAGCATGAATGGGGGAGGGGCAGAGAGAGAGGGAGACACAGAATCAGAAACAGGCTCCAGGCTCTGAGCCATCAGCCCAGAGCCCGACGCGGGGCTCGAACTCCCGGACCGCGAGATCGTGACCTGGCTGAAGTCGGACGCTTAACCGACTGCGCCACCCAGGCGCCCCTTCCTTGGATTCTTCTGCTAGCCACCACCACCCCCCCCCCCTTCCAGACCACTACGCTCTCACTGCAAGACTGGTTGGGGGCTCCCTTTCTCTTTCACTTACATTCCCTAACAAGGTAATTTCATCCAGCTTCGCAGCCTTAAATACCATCTGTATGCTGACTTCTTGATTTACAGACGTGTTCTCTCTCATATGCAACTGCGGTTAAACACCTCTACTCAAGTAGACCAGGCTTCTCACACAGCATTTACACAACAGCCTACTCTTCCGCCAGTCTCCTCCTGCATGTCCATTAATGGCATACCATATTCCTCAAGTTTGGTTTATCCATTCCTTCATTCTTCACGTCCAATCCATCAGGACACCTTGTCACTTGTATCCCAAAACATATCCTGAATCCACCCATTTCTCTCCATGATCACTGTTATCAACCTTGTATCCCTTTTCTTATATGGAATGTAATCTTTGTTGTGTTCAGTCACTCATTCAGCAAAATATTTATCGAGCCTTAGACACTAGAAATAATGTGAAGTTTGGAATACGCATGCTCCATAACCTCAAAGGAGACAGAGAAGTAATAATGCAACAACAGAAATCGATCCTACAGCTTATCACTCTGGTAATGCCAAGTTTCTACAGGAATAAAGAGGAGGGGGCAACTCAGACACGTTGGTCTGCAGCAAAGGCTTTCTGAAGGCACGGGGACCGGACTGCGTTTCGAAGGAGTGTACC